GCTCATAATCGTTGAGGACTGGGGAGTTTTTCAGGATAAAAAATAAACAGAATGGCAAAATCCTATAGGAAAACCTGGTTCAGTCTGCTTTCCACCAGACACTGGGAGATTAATTAATATTTTAGCAGGACAATAATCTAAAACACAAGGCCAAATCTACACTGGAGCTGCTTACCAAGAAGGCAGTGAATGTTCCTGAGTGGCCGAGTTACAGTTTTTACTTAAATTTACTTGAAAATCAATGTCAAGAACTGAAAATGGTTGTCTAGCAATGATCAACAACCAATTTGACACAGCTTGAATAATTTTGAAAAGAATAATGGGCAAATGTTGCACAATCCAGGTGTGGGAAGGCTTTATCACTGCCAAAGGTGCTTCTACAAAGTATTGACTCAGGGGTGTGAATTCTTATGTGCAACGCCAGGGTTGTGTGTTCGTTTCCCACGGGGGGCCAGTATGAAAAATGTATGCACTCACTAACTGTAAGTCGCTCTGGATAAGAGTGTCTGCTAAATGACTAAAATGTAAATGTTTCAGTATTTCATTTTCAATAAATTTGCAAAAATGTCTACAAGCATGTTTTCACTTTGTCATTATGGGGTATTGTGTGTAGATGGGTGAGATAAAACATATATTTAATCCATTTGAGTTCAGGCTGTAACAACAAAATGTGGAATAAGTCAAGTGGTATGAATACTTTCTAAAGCACTGTAGGTATAGAGAAGGGTTGCTCAACCCTGTTCCTGGAGAACTACCCTCCTGTAGGTTTTCGCTCCAACCCCAGGTGTTACTAACCTGATTAATCTTATCAACCTGCTAATTATTAGAATCAGGTGTGCTAGATTAGGGTTGGAGCAAAAACCTACAGGATGGTAGCTCTCCAGGAAAAGTATGTGGACACCTGCTCGTCGAACATCTCATTCCAAAATCATGGGCATTAATATGGAGTTGGTTCCCACTTTGCTGCTATAACAGCCTCCATTCTTCTGGGAAGGCTTTCCACTAGATGTTGGAACATTGCTGCGGGGACTTGCTTCCATTCAGCCACGAGCAGAAGTGAGTTCGGGCACTGATGTTGGGCGATTAGGCCTGGCTCGCAGTTGGCGTTCCAATTAATCACAAAGGTGTTCAATGGGGTTGAGGTCAGGGCAGTGTGCAGGCCAGTGAAGTTCTTCCACACCGATCTCGACAAACAATTTCTGTATGGACCTCGCTTTGTGCACGGGGGCATTGTCATGCTGAAACAGGAAAGGGACTAACCCCAAACTATTGCCACAAAGTTGGAAGCACAGAATCATCTAGAATGTCATTGTATGCTGTAGCTTTAAGATTTCTATACACTGGAACTAAGGGGCCTAGCCCGAACCATGAAAAACAGCCCCAGACCATTATTCCTCCTCCACCAAACTTTACAATTGGCACTATGCATTGGGCAGGTAGCGTTCTCCTGGCATCTGCCAAACCCAGATTTGTCTGTCGGACTGCCAGATGGTAAAGCGTGATTCCTCACTCCAGAGAATGTGTTTCCACTGCTCCAGAGTCCAATGGCGCTGAGCTTTACACCACTCCAGCCGACGCTTGGCATTGCGCATAGTGATCTTAGTCTTGTGTGTGGCTGCTCGGCCATGGAAATCTGTTTCATGAAGCTCCCTGACGAACAGTTCTAGTGCTGACGTTGCTTCCAGAGGCAGTTCAGAACTCTGTAGTGAGTGTTGCAACCGAGGACAGACGATTTTTACGCGCTACGCGTTTCAGCACGCGGTGGTCCCATTCTGTGAGCTTGTGCGGCCTACCACTTCGCGGCTTAGCCTTTGTTGCTCCAAGACGTTTCCACTTCACAATAACAGCACTTACAGTTGACCGGGGCAGCTCTAGCAGGGCAGAAATCTGACGAACTGACTTGTTGGAAAGGTGGCATCCTAAGTCACTGAGCTCTTCAGTACGGGCCATTCTACTGCCAATGTTTGTCTATGGAGATTGCATGGGTGTGTGCTCATTTTTATACATCTGTCAGCAACGGGTGTGGCTGAAATAGCCTAATTTAATTTGAAGGGTGTCCACATACTTTTGTAGTGTATGTTAGTGTTCAGAAGAGTTGAGGGGGGTTCCCTCAGCTGACACATACTATAAACATGAGTGAAAACAGAGAGATATAGAATTCATCTCTTTGTTAGAGGAGTGTGTATTAAATAGGATTCATGTAAAAGAGATTGAGTCTCCCTCACCCTGTGTCTACACCCCATGTACTCTGTAAAAGCACTTGCACTTGACCCCCATTTCTCCAAAAAGTACGATCTTTGTCCCCATGTGCAGTTGCAAACCATAGTCTGGCTTTTTTATGACGGTTTTGGAGCAGTGGCTTCTTCCTTGCTGAGCGGCCTTTCAGGTTATGTCGATATAGGACTCGTTTTACTGTGGCTATAGATACTTTTGTACCTGTTTCCTCCAGCATCTTCACAAGGTCCTTTGCTGTTGTTCTGGGATTGATTTGCACTTTTCGCACCAAAGTACGTTCATCTCTAGGAGACAGAACGCGTCTCCTTCCTGAGCGGTATGACGGCTGCATGGTCCCATGGTGTTTATACTGGCGTACTATTGTTTGTACAGATGAACGTGGTACATTCAGGCATTTGGAAATTGCTCCCAAGGATGAACCAGACTTGTGGAGGTCTACAATATTTTATCTGAGGTCTTGGCTGATTTCTTTTGATTTTCCCATGATGTCAAGCAAAGAGGCACTGAGTTTGAAGTTAGGCCTTGAAATACATCCACAGGTACACCTCCAATTGACTCAAATGATGTCAATTAGCCTATCAGAAGCTTCTAAAGCCATGACATCATTTTCTGGAATTTTCCAAGCTGTTTAAAGGCACAGTCAACTTAGTGTATGTAAACTTCTGACCCACTGGAATTGTGATACAGTGAATTATAAGTGACATAATCTGTCTGTAAACAATTGTTGGAAAGATTACTTGTGTCATGCACAAAGTAGATGTCCTAACCGACTTGCCAAAACTATAGTTTGTTAACAAGAAATTTGTTGAAGGGTTGAAAAACTAGTTTTAATGATTCCAACCTAAGTGTATGTTAACTTCCGACTTCAACTGTAGCTATCTTAAGATTAATGCACTAACTGTAAATTGCTCTGCGTCTGCTAAATGACTCAAATGTTAAAATGTAAAATGTAAAAGACTCTGTGACAAACCGTAACCACTGGCCAATAAACCTAATAAATGTGCCCTTACAAACCCTTAAACATGCTCTCAATCTCTCCCTGATCCCCAAAGAGGTGACCCAAACTCAACCAGGGACCCTTAACCGCCTCTGTGTTGGCCTCTAAAAACTAACACAATCAGGGGCCAGGAGAGTGGGCATGTAACACAGGCCAGTATGTGCCCTATGCCAGGCCATGGGTCTGCTCAGAGAGGGAACCTTGTCTCCCCGAGGGCAGAATGGCTACTTAGGGGTTAGGGGACCAGGGGTTGGCATAGGCCCTCTTCTATTTCTCCCTCCCCGAAACAACAGCAGCCCCCCATCACTCTGTGAGTCCATTAGGAGAGGGGAGTTAGAGGGAAGTTGACTCTACATGGAGAGAGGTAGTGTGTGCTCTAATGGATCTTAGTGAGAGACTAAGCAGCTCTCCTAGCCTGTAGATTTACACCATGCCTCTGGCCCCGGGGTCTGAGGGGGGTTCTCTTTCCCTCACAAGAAAAATGACAACAGTGACTTGGAATGGATAGAGCTTTCCTTTAACCGGCCTGCTGCAGTGGAAAAAAGGAGTCTCTGTCCATTCTGTTCCCCCTGTTCTGCCTTTACGTTAGTTTTTTATTTATTTATTTGATCTGGACAGAATCACGCCACTGATAAACTCATAAAACGAATGTAGTTTTCCACATTTGCACAACAGATACACACATGAGAAGGAATGTGTGATAGTCAGTGCAACCATGGGCTCAGACCACTCCTCGGACAGGGTGGTTAGATTAGAGTGGACGGAGTGTGCGGCTCTTAAAGGAACACACTGACTGGTTATGTCTGCTCTGCTCTCTTCTGACTCGGCAGCACTCATTAATCACACACGCACACACTTCGGAACACTCACAAGCTGCTCTCAATGGTTACAGTTAGTACTCGCAACATACTGTACACCTCCAGTTCTCAACAGCTGCACTGTGGGCTGGCTTTCACCCTGCTACCTATTTAAGAAACATTCAATCTTTACTGACTTGAGAAAATGTCTTGTCCACATTTGAAAAGTGTTCCTTTAATTTGCCTGATGAACTGACTGAGTGTGTTGATTAGACTTAACTTAGTAATTACCAGACTGATTACCCCTGGACTATCCGTGTAGCGAACATCCATGTAAACTGGCGAGATCATGTGGCTTGCAAGGCTATAGATTAGACTGCCATAGACTGAGTAATTAATTACTATGACTATCAGGATCCATGAGTACAGTAGATCAGTGTATTTTTACTGTCTGCCAATAGGAGAGAGAGAGAGAGAGAGAGAGAGAGAGAGAGAGAGAGAGAGAGAGAGAGAGAGAGAGAGAGAGAGAGAGAGAGAGAGAGAGAGAGAGAGAGAGAGAGAGAGAGAGAGAGAGAGAGAGATTCAGTCAGTTCACACATCCACAGAGCCAAACCTAACACTGGGGTCAACTCAACAGCACCAGTTCTCCATTCAGGATGAGAAGTTGACCCCAAGACTATAATACTGGCACATAAAACATGGACATTTCTCGCCATCAAAACGCTAGTGGATTGATTACATTTGTGTATATGCAGCTGTATAACAACCAACTGGTCTGACCTGTTCTGTTAGCACTTTCAGGGTCGAGGTGGTGCGGAACACAATATTTACCTCAGTGCAAGTACATACACGTGTATTACTGTATGGCTGGCTGGAGTGGGGATGTGGGTTCTAGATCTACAGGGAGCCTGTGGTGTAGTAGTTCATGCCCTGGATGACCGAAGCTCACTCCTCCTCCTAATAGCATTGCCATGGAGCACAAACAGTGACCATTTAAGTCTCAGTTCATCATTGCAGTGGTTTACAGTAGGTACAATGATGTAGCACTTATTATAAAGCCTGCAGAATGTCTGTTTTCTCTGTGTTGTTATCAGTCATGACATCTTTGTGTTTATTGTCACTCATATGAGACTTTTTTAAGGACATGCTCCGATACTTTGGTGACTAAGAAAGTATTTTTTAAACCTCCTGCTTTGGGCTGGATGTGTCAATGTGTAGTTCATATACTGAACAAAAATATAAACGCAACATGCAACAGTTTCAAAGATTTTACTGAGTTGCAGTTCATATAAGGAACTCAGTAATTTGAAATAGGTTCATTAGGCCCTAATCTATGGATTTCACATGACTTGGCAGGGGTGCAGCCATGGGTGGGCCTTGAAGGGTATAGGCCCACCCACTGGGGAGCCAGGCCCAGCCAATCAGAATTAGTTTCCCCCCCCCCCACAAAATGGGGGGGGGGGAAACTAAGCCAGAACTTCTGGCTTAATAAAAAGTATGCAAAAGTACCGTAGAATCTCTTTAACACAGTATAATATAGACTTATGACCACTGCTTCTCTCAAAGTTGGCGTAGTCACTAGTCAAGGTGCTCTGAGCGCTCAGTCCTCTTCCTACCTCTCTCTGGTGAAGCAGGCTGAATGGGTGGAAGGCTAAAAGGTGGAAAAGGCGAGGTTCGCTGGGAACACGAGCACCCAGTTTTTCTAGTAAAGTATATGAACAGAACCTTGTTTTGCTCTGCGGTTGAGCCTGCCCTGGGCTGTTATTGTAGTGTGAATGAAACACGTGTGAGGGCATAGCTGCTCTCTTCTGGCTAACCCACAGTAACACTGTTTGAGACGTGTTAAAATGCCTCTCTGAGGTAGGATGGTTGGGACTGGGAAGGTGTACTAAAACATTAGAGCTGGTATATACAATGCCAACTTAAAGAGGTGGTCTCCAACAACATATTCACACATATCCACAGACATTCTTTAGAGCTGTTTTGGGTTGTATTCATGAATGTATAGGAGATACTGCTCCTACTGACAGCGAAGTATAAGTATTCTTAAGAGTGCTCTATAACATCGTAAACACATATACTCACAAAATATTGAGGCACACAAACATGTAGCCACGAGGGTTCTGTTGGGTTGGTCTGCCATAACGAGTGTAAGATATATGGCCTTGGATATTGAAACGACATGCCACACACTCGTTCCAGAACTGCTGTCGAGACTGACACACACACACACACTAACTCGCATGCACACACACGCACCTGTCACAAAGAAACACACACACACACACACACACACACACACACACACACACACACACACACACACACACTGAGCACAAAAAGCTCTTTCTTGAGAGAGTATTAAGTGTACCAGTGTTGTTCCAGTCTCAGGCAGGTACATTGAGTCGAGGCCAGAACAGAACAGAAGGGTAGCTTTCACCAGACACTGTCACCGTTTCTGTGGCTACGTTACTATGGCGATGTTGCCAGGGCATTTTGATTTTTCAAGCATGTCTGGAAAGAGGGAGTTGAAGAGTGGAGCATTTAACTTCAATTTACCTCAGTTATGTATGCACTTAAGTTTTACTACAAGGTAGGTGCAGCCATTTGAATGATACAGTATCCATATACCGGTGTTTGCTCTGTCCTGGGTCTATGCCTGTCCTGGGACTAAACCTGCTCTGTCCCCTCTCTGTGATATAACTGTTTGGTCTGTCCTGGGTCTATGCCTAGTCTGTCCTGGGACTAAACCTGCTCTGTCCCCTCTCTGTGATATAACTGTTTGGTCTGTCCTGGGTCTAAGCTTACGCCATCCCCTCTTTGTGATATAACTGTGTTTAGTGTGTCCTGGTCCTGGGTCTAATAAGCCTGCTCTGTCCCCTCTCTGTGTCTCTGTAGCCAACGTGTTGGACACAATGTTACTGAGGAACCCTGGGAGAGACAGATCAGACAGTAGGAGGGAGGAGGGTGGGAATACAGCCCCGGCTCCAGCACAGAGGATACTCTGGTGTCACTGTTACCATCACTGTCCTGAAGACTCTACCAACAATACCTGCAGGTATGATACACACACACATGCACGCACACGCACACACACACACGCACATACAAATTCCACAAAATTAGAACTGTGTTGATATGGTTGGTGTGTTTTTCTTAGAATCCACTGTATCTAATATCTAATGTGTAATTAGCTTGCAGTCATTAGTACACAGCAGAGGCATTTACTCATATCTGTTACTATCCTGTAGAACTCTAATTCATTGAATGAAAAATACACTGGTGTGTGTGTCACAGCCACTGTGGAAGATATTAATTCAGACAGCAATGAGATATTATTTAAATACAAGCATAATTAGGGACAGATGTATGCCCACTGTCTCCATCCACGTCTAGTAGCGTTTATTACATTTGATTCTGATTGCCGATATAACCTTCTCAGCACCATGAATTTTGTCATTATTAAACAAGCTGAGAGTGAAATCCTCTCATATTATGTTGAAAGATTGACAATGGAACAGTCCCAGATGATGATGATATTGATATTGATGATGATAATGGTATCTCTTCAGGACTGATGGTTATTGCTTCACCATGGTGGAGGATGAAGAGGGAAGTCTCCCTGTGCTCACCTCTGGATGTCTGGGGCTGGTGGGCTCAGAGTTCCAGTGCAGGGTAAGTCTGCTATGTGTGTGGTGTGTATGTGAACGCCATCAAGTGCAGGCGCACTGTAGAACCACAGTTGAACCAGCTTTATAAGCTCTTGTAAGTCCTTATAAACCCTCTATGACTCACTACAGCTCTCAAAGGAATCTCTTCAAATCAGACCTTAACAAACCTACTACCTCTACAATGAAAGCAATGTGTTAGACCAGCCTTGTCTCACCATCAATAAGCAACATTGTAAATAGCCTATACAGATGTAGTATCTTAATTTGAGCCAGTTTGCTACAGCAGGAAAATAATCCTGCAGCAATAGGAAATGTGAATTATTATGTGGATTATAATTAATGGACATTTTTTTTTAGGGATTGATACATTTTTTGTTAGGGCAAATCAAGTCTGACATTTTAAAACGGAAATTACAAATTGTAGAATCCTTTTTAAACCTCGAATTGCATTCCCAGCAACAAAATAGTGAACAAATTAAGATCCTACATCTGTAGTCCTTCAAACTGTTGTCTAGCCATTAGAGTTGTGTAGATGTAACAGTGTGTTTATGGTGGGTCACAACAGGACACAGGGAATGCCCGTCAGAGGAGGGCTCTAGAGTGCTGTACAGACCAGGACTTCTGCAATAAAGACCTGTATCCTACTTTACCACCACTGAGGACCCCTGGTAAGACACACACACTCAGTCACACACAGTGAATTCCACCCAGTCAACACAGTGAATGAAACTCTTGGCTTTCATAGTGGGATCCTTCAACCTGCACTGGGGTGTGATGGGTAGTGACAGTTTAAACTGTTACAAACCACAGTGTATAGTGCTGGCTGGAGTGGCACTTGCTGCTCAGGGGGAAGACAGGGGAAGGCTGGGGGGAGACAGTGGGAGGCAGGTGAAATGGAGCTGGCAGGCTTGGCTTGTTCTCTCACCCTCTAATGAAAAGGACAGCCTCTCCCCAGGGCCTGCTTGAGTTTCCTGCCCCGCTACGGATCTGAGATATCTGTCCATCTGTCACTCCTCTAGCTAGACACCAACACTGTGTGTGTGTGTGTTTCTGTGCGTGCGTACGTGTGTGTGTGCGTGGTGCGTTACGTCTATCATGGAAATTAGTCAAAGACAAATTGATTTGTCAAACGAGGCAAATTGTAAAATGAGATCATTTCCATGTGTGTGTCTATCTTCAAGTGTATGTGTATGCACGCGTGCATGTGTGTGTGTGTGTGTGTAAATGATTGACAGGAGGCTGGCAGAAAGGCTAGAGCCCCAGAGCAGCGTTGGGCCTCAGGGGTTGCCGTGGCGATGTCAGTGTGACACCCAATCTGGGGGTTTTTTCTCGGGAAGGGGATTTGATCGATCACACACTGGGAGGGGGAGAGAGGAACAAGAGAAGCGGGGAAGTGGGGGGAGGAGAGTGGAAAATAAGAGTTTGTCCCCATCTCTGAGATTTGGCAGGGTTTGGAATTAAACTGTTATAAACAGATGAATGGAGAACTGGTGCTGTTGAGTTGACCCCAGTGTTAGGTTTGGCTCTGTGGATGTGTGAACTGACTGACTCTCACTCTCTCTCTCTCTCTCTCTCTCTCTCTCTCTCTCTTCCTCTTCTCTCTCTTCTCCTCTCTCTCTCTCTATCTCTCTCTCTCTCTCTCTCTCCTGTAGATTACGTGGACAGCAGTATCCACCACATGGCTCTCTTCATCTCTGTCACAGTGTGCAGCATCATCCTGGCACTCATCATCGTCTTCTGTTACTTCAGGTGAGAAAACACACATGGACTTGGACTCTGACACACATTGAGGAGATTGGTAACATAGACCAATGTAATGCTTTTGGAAGAATTGTAGGATTGCATTACTAAGGGGTTTACCCATGTGTCTCTTCCAGGTATAAGCGTCAGGAGTCCCGGCCTCACTACAGTATTGGTCTGGAGCAGGATGAGACTTACATTCCCCCTGGAGAGTCTCTGAAGGACCTGATAGAACAATCCCAGAGCTCTGGCTCAGGATCAGGACTCCCCCTGCTGGTGAGACCTCAACACTGCACATCACACACGTCAGCAACCAATGGCAAAATCAGTCCAGCAATACAGTGTTATAGAAAGATCTTACTCTCGTGATTATGCTGTACAATGAAATAGGATGTTATGATGTTGACGATTACAATGTTCATTTTAGTTATTGATGACGATGATTATGTTATTGATGCTGATGACGGTGTGTGTTTTTTTTCCCTGTGCTCAGGTGCAGCGCACCATAGCCAAGCAGATTCAGATGGTGAAGCAGATAGGTAAGGGCCGCTATGGGGAGGTGTGGATGGGTCGCTGGAGAGGAGAGAGAGTGGCTGTCAAAGTGTTCTTCACCACCGAGGAGGCCAGCTGGTTCAGAGAGACCGAGATCTACCAAACTGTCCTCATGAGACACGAGAACATACTGGGTAAGGACAGCGAGGTGTGTGTGTGTGCGTGCATCTGTGTGTGTGTGTGCATCCTTGCGTGCATCTCTATATGTGTGTGTCTTTTGGCTCGATTCAATCCGTAGCCAGAAGATCTGCATTGTAGTGCGAGTGACATTTAAAGTGCATTGTAGTGCGAGTGACATTTAAAAGTAATGTTACCACGTTCACTGAGACTCCATTCACAGTAAACGCTGCATTTGTCTGCTCAACCGGAAATTACCTAAATGTCAACCGCGTTACGACGCAGATATTCCACGCTACGGATTGAATCGAGCCCTTTGCATCTCCTCAAAGATCTCCCCCCGTCTCCTCCCTACCCAGGCTTCATAGCAGCTGACATAAAGGGAACAGGGTCGTGGACCCAGCTCTACCTGATCACAGACTACCATGAGAGTGGATCTCTGTATGACTACCTCAAGTCCACCACGCTAGACATCAAAGCCATGCTTCGGCTGGCTTACTCATCAGTGTCAGGCCTCTGCCACCTCCACACAGAGATCTTTGGCACCCAGGGCAAGCCAGCCATCGCCCACAGAGACCTGAAGAGCAAGAACATCCTGGTAAAGAAGAATGGGGCCTGCTGCATCGCAGACCTGGGTCTTGCCGTCAAATTCATCAGGTAGGACAGGAAAGGGACATCTGACATACATCAGGTCCTGAATGTAGAGATAATGAAACATCTTTATAAAGCAGATTTGTTCTACGCTGTTATGTTTCTATACTTTTCACCAGAAATACATGTCTATACAAAGACTGTGTTGTTTTAAAGGAGCAATGTTGATGAAAAGATGTGGTATTTCTCTCCCACCTCCTCCCTCTACTCCTCCCTCTCTCAGTGACACCAATGAGGTGGACATCCCTCCCAACACTAGGGTAGGCACAAAGCGCTACATGCCCCCGGAGGTCCTGGATGAGAGTCTGAACAGGAAACACTTCCAGTCCTACATCATGGCCGACATGTACAGCTTCGGCCTCATCCTCTGGGAGATCGCCCGGCGCTGCGTATCTGGAGGTCAGGCATGGCCCACAATGCTCTGCTTCACAATGTCTGATATAACTTTTATATGTAAAGTAAACTGATGTGACCTTTGACCATATGCATGCAGACATTTGCCAAAATGCTTGTCCAATTTAAAAAAAAATAGTATTCAAACCTTTATTTTTTAACACTGTTCAGTAGGGGTATAACGGTTCACCAAACCCACGGTTTGGTACATATTGTGATTTTTGGGTCACGGTTCATTTCGGTACAGCGGGAAAATGAAATGACGTACTACATTTTTGTTCATTTGGCAAAAGATGCTAAATTAACCCAGGAATAGATCATGAGCCATATAATGCCTGATGAGAGCACAGTCAGGAATACCAACTTTGTAAACACTCTCATAAAGGCGGCGTGTCTGTAGCACGGTACTTCTCATCTCCCACTCAGCAGGACGCAATGTTTTGGAACGTTCAGATAGAAATAGGCAGTGTAGAACAAACATGCCTTTCTGACATGTAGAATAAGGAATCACATCGGCTCTATTCATGGCATTTCTATCTGCAACGTTCGACAACCTTTGGCAACTGAATGTGGCCCTGGAGGTCAATCCATCTGTAGTAAGCGCAACACAGGGTGCATTGGCCAGTTCATTGACAACTTGGGCTTGCTTATATAGAGTGGGTATTGGTCTTCACGGGTCCAAAAGGTTGGACCCCTTCCGAAATGGACATGGGGCTTTCCCATCCCGGGTCTCTATATAGGCTATAGAGACCCGTTACGAACAGACCCGAGGACAACTAGACCCGTTCCGTATAGACCTTGTTGGATGCAGACCCGGTCCGATCCGAGTGAGGGAAGCTTGTTAAGCTACTTTATTAACCGAAGCTGATAAAGCGTAAGGTAGAGAGAGGTGGCGCTCTAGCAGGCTGAGGGGCCATGTGGTGTGTGTACTGTGAGCGAGTGACACAGGGAGCAAGGAGCAAGGAGGATGGAGGGAGAGACTGAGAGAGAAGGCAACCAACCAAGCCGACTCGCTCTAGTAAACTTCTAGGTTATTTATCATCCAACGTAGTATACAGAGTTTCTAAACCCAGAGGTGCAACATCGCGAGACTTCTGGAAATGCTTGCGAAACAGACCAAGCAGACCAGACCAGGCCGGGGTTTGGGGTTTGATAAGTCAATGAGAAAAATTAAAGATTCTTCCTTAGATGTTCATTTTCGCTCAATCTTAAGTCACAACCTAGATTCGAGTCAATGTCTTAAGTAGTTGAACATGTTAGACCCGATGTGTTTCTGCGAATGAGCTTAGCTAGCCAACATCGCCATGAGATCGCCTACAAGTGTGATCGGGAATTTCTATTGGAGAAGCAGTTTCTGCCTATCTTCATACTGTCTTTGGTAGTACCTGTCTTGACTGCATGAAACTGAGAGAAGTTAGTTAGCTAAGCTAGCTAGCTAGGTAGGCTAATTGAGGCTGCATGCGCGTTCCCCCAGTCCGATAGTTACAAATAACAACAACTCCATTCAGAATATTAAGTAGCAGCCTACCTGTGTTGGTCGTAGCATATCCTTCTCATTTAACTTTTAATTCCGTCATTTTAATTCCATCTTCCATTGATTAGATATCTCCTAACTTGCGTGCTAAAAGAACGGCTAAAAGTATCATTTGAAATGCGGCAATTAAGATTAGAATTTTGATTACAACATGCGCATAGGCTCTAGATGTTTTAACGGAATAGCCTGAAATTGTTTTTTATTTTTTACTCAAGGCATACATAGCCTATAGACCTTTTTTTTTTATGTATTCATTCGGGTTCACAGTTTGGACCGTACCGAACGGTTCGGTACGAATATGTGTACCGTTACACCCCTACTGTTCAGTTATCTTACCCCCTTCCAGTCTGTGTATCATCTTACTACTCTCTCAGGTGTGATGACACAGTACATTATGTGGAGATCTAATGTCTCTCTCTCCATGTGCCTCGTGTCCTGTAGGCATCGTAGAGGAGTACCAGCTGCCTTACCATGACCTGGTGTCCTCTGACCCCTCCTATGAAGACATGAGGGAGGTTGTGTGCATCAAGAGACAGAGACCCTCCTTCGCCAACCGCTGGAGCAGTGATGAGGTAAGGAAAAATCTTTGTGATTCTGTTACTACAATATATGTTCTATGCTTGACTTCAGTATACTCATACATAGGCTACTGTGTTTGATGAGTGTATGTTGATTTCTGACCTCGGTATGTGTGTTTAGTGTCTCAGACAGATGGGGAAGCTGATGACGGAGTGCTGGGCCCACAACCCTGCATCTCGCCTCACTGCTCTGAGAGTGAAGAAGACCCTGGCCAAGATGTCTGAGTCTCAGGACATCAAACTGTGACACGCTGCTGCTCCTCCTGCTGCCACCTAGAGACACTCATCCCCTAGAGACATGTCCTTGGCCTAGCGCCTCTCTGCCAGGCCCACGGGAGGAGGGCAAGGCAAGAGATAGCGATAGAAGGAGAGAGAGAGTGAGAGTTTTCCCAGGTTCAAGGTCTGCTCTCTCCTTGCCCTTGCCACTGCTAAGACAGAGAGTCCCAGTGGGCAGTTTCTGTTCTGGGCCAGTCTGGTCTGGCATTGCTTTCTGTGAAAGCGGAGTGGCTGTTTGAGTGAGGGGAAAACACAAGGACAAACAGTACCCTCTGCAGGAGAGGAGGAGCCACTCTATCCCTCACGGCCAAGAGAGGGCGAGAGAGAAGGGGAGTTCCTGCTCTGTCCATCTAAAGCCATATAACAGTATTGTTTGTTTTCGCTGTAACATTTTATTAGAACGAGCCACAGTAACCCCTTCAAAACCCGTCATAACAATGGCATGTTTACGACTGTTATGTAGGGTTATGGTGGCTAGTTCAAATAAAGACTTTGTTTTTTCCCATTGTGCTGTAGCAACTGGCCCTATTTGTTTGTCTTCAAGCCCAAGCTTTTGCAACTGTAAAGAAAGTTCTGCATACTGTTGGAAGTGAAGTCGATCACTCAGTAATTCTTGCAGCATCACTGCCCTAGAAACCCAGGTATTTGGTTCTATTCATACAGGAAAACACATTGCTTCAATATTGACTTGGGGCCATTTGGCTATACAAAGGAGTCATTCTTAATGTCTCTGTATCAAGGACTAACGATAGGAGAAAAGGATCATCATTATATTATTATTCTGATGAAGCTGATGGTTAATTAAAAAGCATGGGAGTGATGTTACTGGGCAATTCCATGGTAACAGAGTGATGCTGAGAATCAGATGTATTCTTTTAAAATGTATGTCAAACAAAAACCAATAATTGCAAAGTTAAACAAACCATACAACAAAAGGACTAATTTTAACAACTTCCACTGAAAATTTGACAAAAACACATTTACTTGAAGAACAGTGCATATTCAAAGTTTGGTAACAGAATGACGGTTTGTTTCTTGTTTGACATACATTTTAAATTGAAAAATCTGAATCACTTAACATGGAATTGCCCTAATCAGGCTACCTGACTCATGCCAGTAAGATGGCCTCGCTCATGTTGGTCTTGCTACTGTAATATTCTCATTCCCCCCTCACAGAATTTAATTGTAAATAACAACATTGACATGTATTGATGGTGGACTTAATAATATTGTTAAATATGTGTTTTGGTTGTTTGCCTTTCACTTGTGTACAGAATAACTCCCTGAGTGTCCACTATGGCATGTGCCTTATTTAATCTGTACATATGTGTATAAGAGAATGTGTGGACCAGGAGAACATTCCCTAATAAAATGCTGTCTGTCTCCATATCGTCTCTCTTTTAGATGATTTACGTTTCTCTCTCTCACGCACGAACACTCACACAGGAAAACTGCAGAAAAATCCTACAGGAATCCTAAAGGAAATCCTACACCTTGGGTCAAAGGGAGAGCTAGCACCAGCACCTTATGAATCCACAGAGAAAAGCAGGATAAATCAATCCAAGTATGATAAACCAAAATTAGGGTTATGGCTAGGTATAGGGTTGATCTGGGATGGGGACATGAAACTAGGGTTAGGGGTTAGAATAGTGGTTGAGGCTAGGTTTAGGGTTGATCTGTGATGGGGACATGAAGCTAGGGTTAGGGGTTAGAATAGTGGTTGAGGCTAGGTTTAGGGTTGATCTGGGATGGGGACATGAAGCTAGGGTTAGGGGTTAGAATAGTGATTAAGGTTTAGGGTTGATCTGGGATGGGGACATGAAGCTAGGGTTAGGGGTTAGAATAGTGGTTGAGGCTAGGTATAGGGTTGATCTGGGATGGGGACATGAAGCTAGGGTTAGGGGTTAGAATAGTGGTTGAGGCTAGGTTTAGGGTTGATCTGGGATGGGGACATGAAGCTAGGGTTAGGGGTTAGAATAGTGATTAAGGTTTAGGGTTGATCTGGGATGGGGACATGAAGCTAGGGTTAGGGGTTAGAATAGTGGTTGAGGCTAGGTATAGGGTTGATCTGGGATGGGGACATGAAGCTAGGGTTAGAATAGTGGTTGAGGCTAGGTATAGGGTTGATCTGGGATGGGGACATGAAGCTAGGGTTAGGGGTTAGAATAGTGGTTGAGGCTAGGTATAGGGTTGATCTGGGATGTGGACATGAAGCTAGGGTTAGGGGTTAGAATAGTGATTGAGGTTTAGGGTTGATCTGGGATGGGGACATGAAGCTAGGGTTAGGGGTTAGAATAGTGATTGAGGTTTAGGGTTGATCTGGGATGGGGACATGAAGCTAGGGTTAGGGGTTAGAATAGTGGTTGAGGCTAGGTTTAGGGTTGATCTGGGATGGGGACATGAAGCTATGGTTAGGGGTTAGAATAGTGGTTGAGGCTAGGTATAGGGTTGATCTGGGATGGGGACATGAAGCTAGGGTTAGGGGTTAGAATAGTGGTTGAGGCTAGGTATAGGGTTGATCTGGGATGTGGACATGAAGCTGGGGTTAGAATAGTGATTGAGGTTTAGGGTTGATTTGGGATGGGGACATGAAGCTAGGGTTAGGGGTTAGAATAGTGGTTGAGGCTAGGTATAGGGTTGATCTGGGATGGGGACATGAAGCTAGGGTTAGGGGTTAGAATAGTGGTTGAGGCTAGGTTTAGGGTTGATCTGGGATGGGGACATGAAGCTAGGGTTAGGGGTTAGAATAGTGATTGAGGTTTAGGGTTGATCTGGGATGGGGACATGAAGCTAGGGTTAGGGGTTAGAATAGTGGTTGAGGCTAGGTATAGGGTTGATCTGGGATGGGGACATGAAGCTAGGGTTAGGGGTTAGAATAGTGGTTGAGGTTTAGGGTTGATCTGGGATGGGGACATGAAGCTAGGGTTAGGGGTTAGAATAGTGGTTGAGGCTAGGTTTAGGGTTGATCTGGGATGGGGACATGAAGCTAGGGTTAGTGGTTAGAATAGTGGTTGAGGCTAGGTTTAGGGTTGACCTGGGATGGGGACATGAAGCTAGGGTTAGTGGTTAGAATAGTGGTTGAGGCTAGGTTTAGGGTTGATCTGGGATGTGGACATGAAGCTAGGGTTAGGGGTTAGAATAGTGGTTGAGGCTAGGTTAAGGGTTGATCATGGGTGTGGACATGAAGCTAGGGTTAGGGGTTAGAATAGTGGTTGAGGCTAGGTTTAGGGTTGATCTGGGATGGGGACATGAAGCTAGGGTTAGTGGTTAGAATAGTGGTTGAGGCTAGGTTTAGGGTTGATCTGTGATGGGGACATGAAGCTAGGGTTAGGTGTTAGAATAGTGGTTGAGGCTAGGTTTAGGGTTGATCTGGGATGGGTACATGAAGCTAGGGTTAGGGGTTAGAATAGTGGTTGAGGCTAGGTTTAGGGTTGATCTGGGATGGGGACATGAAGCTAGGGTTAGGGGTTAGAATAGTGGTTGAGGCTAGGTTTAGGGTTGATCTGGGATGGGGACATGAAGCTAGGGTTAGGGTTTAGAATAGGTGTTGAGGTTTAGGGTTGATATGGGATGGGGACAATAAGCTATGGTTAGGGTTGTGGTAGCTAGTGTTAGGGCTCTATTCAATCTGTATAGCGCAAGTTCAGAGTTACAGCCTGATTGAAATGGAAAGGCAATGTTCCCGCGTTAGTGGAGACTGCATTCACGGTAAACGCTGCATGTCTGCTCAATCGGAAAATCTGTAATACTTCAGCGATACAGATTGAACAGAGAAAGTCACCCGGAAGTGGAAAAGAAGCGTTGGATTCTGCATTCAGTGTTGCATATAAATATAATTTATTATTAGTTTTAAAAATTCTTTCTTACACTTTGTACAGGAACTTAACAGAGGAAATGCAAGCATTTGCAAGTAACATGATGAGTGCCAGAACAGAATTGGCCACATTCTCACTATACATACAATATTACCCATGAAGCCTCAGGAGAACGATGGAATGCAACGGCTAACACTTTTCAGTACGTACATTTTGTTTATAAAGGATGCAAAGTTTGCATAGACGGCTTTAGGAAAATTCTCACACAACTGTCAATATTATTATTATTTTTAAACAAAACTAATCAAACAACTATTGTCAGTGCTGTTTCTTTTCAAGGAATGTTGGGCCGACAGTTATCTTCAATTATTATACACATACAAATATGCTATCATATAATACAAATATGCTATCATACAATCCTTATACTTAATGCTTTCCCATTTGCAAGATAAATAATTTGATAATCCGTCGAATTTCCCATTATTTCACCTATTTCCATTCCCCCACTCAAAGTCAACAGTAACTGTTAGTGTACACTGAGTATACAAAACATTAAGAACACCTGCTCTTTCCATGACATAGACTGACCAGGTGAAAGCTATGATACCTTATTGATGTCACTTGTTAAATCCACTTCAATCAGTGTCGATAAACGGGAGGAGACAGATTAAAGAAGGATTTTTTAAGCCTTGAGACAACTGAGACATGGATTGTGTATGTGTGCCATTCCGACGGTGAATGGGCAAGACAAAATATTTCAGTGCCTTTGAACGGGGTATGGTAGGCGCACCGGTTTGTGTAAAGAACTGGAATGCTGCTAGGTTTTTCATGCTCAACAGTTTCCCGTGTGTACCAAGAATGGTCCACCACCCAAAGGACATCTAGCCAATTTGACACAACTGTGGGAAGCATCCCTGTGGAACACTTTCGACACCTTATAGAGTCCATGCCCTGACAAATTGAGGCTGTTCTGAGGGAAAAAGGGGGTGCAACTCAATATTAGGAAGGTGTTCCTAATGTTTTGTATACTCAGTGTATGTTGTCATTTAGTAATCGGCTCATGTGAAACAATCAGAATACAGGTATTCAGACTTCATGACAGAGAACATTAGCATGGAATTTTACATAATATCAATTATTTGGTAAAAGGCAATCGTATCAGGCTGCATCAGTCCTAAAACAATATACCGTCTGTCTATCAACAGATGACACATCTTCCACTTTGGGAGACAGACTCCCATTTCTTCCTCTGCCCTGGTTCTGTCTCATTTGGACGAGGTCATCATCAGGGGACCATACATGATGAGAGCAGATTGAGACATTCCACTATGCCAGAGATCTGTATATAATGACAAGATGCTCATGTCTCTGCCCTAACAATGGGAGTCGTTGTCCCAAAGGCGGGAAGGTAGGCGGTCTGCTTATCACTGTATTCCCACGTGGACAGATTTTGACGGGAGTGGACCCTTTTGCTTCGCCTCTTCCTCTCTGACTATACTGACTGGCATGCTGTGAGTGAGAGATGACTTGACTGACTGACCTCTCACTGACCTCTCAGACAGTTCCTTGTACCAGCATCATGGGTTTCATGGCCTAACAAGCAAACCGTTGATAGCGCAATATAAACCAAAATATAATCATTTCAAACTAGGTAGGCAAATTGTAAATAATTGCAGAATATAAAGTAACAAAAAAGAATTGTAAAACAATAATAATACACAACATGAATGATAACAGCTAATATTAATAATGACAGTCTTACACTGTAAAAGGTTACAGTTTTCAATGTTCTGCTTATGTACAGGTTGCGCTATTGGCTTTGTATCAGTGACTGTACAGTAGGTGTCATTACTAAGAGAATCCACTAGGTGGCACTATGACTCAATGAAAACAAAGAACTGTGCAACGAAAGTAGGGGAAAAGAACACACTGGCGATCTCAAAGTAATCAATCTTAGGCTGCATAAAATACAGAAGGAGAGATATTTGTGTATAAATGGATGTGTTATTAAATACAGACCTATATAGTCACTGAAACAAGTTCTTTCATCAGAAATATTGACGAGTCATTCAACATTAATGTTGGTTACAGGGGTTACCATGGGAATCAATGGGGGCAGGTGGAGTGGGAATGCCTTCACTGCCCCCTCTGGCCACACCCCTTCCTTCCCTTCCCATGGTCTTCTGCTCTGAGCCAGTCTGTCACCACATCCTCTATATGGACAGAACTATCAAGCGTTTCCTAGGAAACTGTATCATGGTAAATACATCTGTACCAGGGAGAGTACAAACAGAGCTGACTAACTTTCTCTTTCCTTTCTCAAAATGTTACTTCCAATATACTTTAATTGGAGCATGGCTATGATAAGCGTGTGTGTGTGTGTGTGTGTGTGTGTGTGTGTGTGTGTGTGTGTGTGTGTGTGTGGGCGTGTCACTATGTTCTTTGATTGAAAGAATGTCTGGCTCTGCTTGTCCTGTACGTCAGCTAACAGATTGCCCCTCTTACTCTCTCTCCTTCTCTCCCTGACTCATCTCTCACTCCTCCCTGGAATTTCCTGTTCTTTGATGGACGGGTGTCAGTGGTCTGTTGCCATGGGCACGAGGTTCTCATGGCGACCCATCTCCTCCAGCACGGCAGCTAGGCGGCTTAGATTCCCGTCGGGGAAGTGTTGTGCCTCCCACAGGTCCAAAATCACCCCCGTAGGACTGGACTTAGTGGCAAAGTAGTTCAGATACCTGATGGGGGAGGGGGAAAGAGGGAGAGAGAGAGAGAGAGAGAGAGAGAGAGAGAGAGAGAGAGAGAGATAGAGAGAGAGAGAGAGAGAGAGAGGTTGTATGGAGTGGGCTTTATGACTATCCAGTGTCGTAAAAAAAAAAAAAAAAAAAACCTGACAGTCAAACATGAAATAGTTAGAACTGCTTTCATCCAGCTCTGAACTCTGAAGGCACGAAGGGTAGGGAGAGGTGGAGTAAGGGTGAGGTTAAGGGAGAGGGAAGGGGTGAGAGGGAGGGTAAAGTCCTCCCTCCTGCTGCTCTTACTTCTATTGCTGTCTGTGATAAGGGAGCCCCTGCTGGGCAGATCAACACCCAGTTTAGAGAGGAGGGGGAGAAAAGTGAGAACAAAAGTGATGCCCCAGCTGCAGGACAGTAGACAGTACCACACACACATAGATCATTCAGTCCAATCCCTACCTGTCCAGGTTGAGTTTGTGTGCCAGCATCCTCCAGTCGTTGCCTCTGGTCTGTGGTGCGTCCAGGCTGCCACAGAGCTTCTGTCTGATGGAGAGGGGGATGCGGAAGGCATTTGGCCCCACCAGGGTGGTGATGTTACTGGCTGGGTCCAGCAGAGACGTGTCGATGCTCTGGGTGTCCTGGAGATGCAACAGAGAGACTGATGTCAGTACAGGGGTCAACTATTTGAACTGACTGAAATTATTATTTGTTGGAATTAGTGTTACAAGTTTAGTTCTCATTCGAATTGGTCCATGTCTTCATAAAATTGTCTAGCCAGCTGCTAGACTCTAGTCAGATAGAAAGCCCCAGACAGACAGAGAGGGGATGATACTAAGGCCAGGACTAGGGCAAGTTACACAAAGCACTCTATCCAATGTTCCCTGTCCCATCTCTGCTCCAATATTCTCCTACTCCACCATTCTCTTTGTGAAGGGGTTGTCAGAGTGGGATTGGAGTGATTATTCCCTTAGATCTGTGCTCTGTATGGAGCTATGAAAAATAAAATAAGTACTGTCTGTAACTCTCATAACAGACAAGCTCTCAACGAGAGGGCTGTGTGTGCAGCAGGCTCAAGGCTCACTGTCTGAGTAAATTAGTTCACTGACAGAAGGCTAAACTCAATACCCGAGCGGGACAAAGACATGGAAAAAGAAAGAAATATACGATATAACAGCAGCCTCAATTCAAGTTAGCAGTAAGTCAGACTAAATCAAGTTAGTCTGATTTATCTGAGCATGTATACATGATTCAGCATGTAAATGTTCATTAGTACACTATACGTATTCACTGTATATGGATACTGTAATATCTTCTTACCTCTGAGAGGGTGGTGTCCAGCTGGAAGATCTGTCCTTCACCCTCCACTTGTCGGACACACAGCTTACAGACCAGGTCTACGGTGCTGGGACAGAACCTCTCCAGGGTGAAGGTACAGTGGAGGTTCCTCTGGGACCCAGACCACACCTGCTGGAACGACAACTCCTGGGAAGAGGAGGGGGGGGGGGGGGGGGGGTTAATACTGGCACCAAGGGTGCGTGTGTGTCTTTACATTCTGTGTTTGCTGTGCGTACCTGGTACTTGGCTAGTAGCTTGCTCTTCCACAGTGTGTGTGGGATGTCGTGGATGGACAGTCGCAGGTTGTGGGTGCTGTCCTTGAAGTTGAGGGTCTTTGGTTCGTCCAGCAGTTTCCCTCCCATCTGCTTCTCCATCTGCAGGACCTCCTATATTAAGGACACACAGAGACACACAGTTTTGAGACATGAGACAATCACTCTATCTACTCTGTTTGAAGCAGAGAATTATGCAATACCCATGATATAATCCATCTATAAACATTCACAACCTTTGACATTCACATCTACATTCAACATGATCATTCCCAATTCTCATTACCCCGCACCCAAACTTAATAACCAGGTCCTATTCTCTTCCCAAAAGTAATAATGAGACCTTATCTTTCTTCAGTGTAGGTGGATAGAGGTATTCTCATGTGTTGTGATGGGGGGAGGAGAGTGGGGGAGGAGGGGGGTACAGTAAATATGAAATATGGCTCATAGTTGTGAGGGCACGGCATCATTTCTCTAGGTGCAGCTTTATACTTCATCTGCTGCCTACTACTACACACGCCACACACACACACACACACGTTCTTACTTTGAGTGAGTCCTGTGTGTCGTCCAGGCAGTAGACTCTAATGTGGTACTCCAGAGCAGGGCAGGTGACGGGGCCGAAAATGGCCAGTTTGAGTCGCTTGGTGGTGGCCGCGCTGCAGGACTGACCAACCAGGCAGTAGGTCCCTAAGGTCTCTGTCAGGATGTGACACGCCTCCTCATCCATCTGGATGTAACAGGGAGTGGTGAAGTTCTCCTCTCCTACCACCACTACCTCCTAGAGAGAGAGAGAGAGAGAGAGAGAGAGAGAGAGAGAGAGAGAGAGACAGAGAGAGACAGAGAGAGACAGAGAGAGACAGAGAGAGAGAGAGAGAGAGACAGAGAGAGAGAGAGAGAGAGAGAGACAGAGACAGAGAGAGAGAGAGACAGAGACAGAGAGAGAGACAGAGACAGAGAGAGCGAGAGCGAGAGAGAAAGAGAGAGAGAGAGAGAGAGAGAGAGAGAGAGAGAGAGAGAGAGAGAAGAGAGAGGGGGGTGGCATGAGTGTGAGAGCGTATGTGTACAGTATCCATGTAAATACATCCTGCCTAGTGCCTACATACATCTAAATGTATAATGTCTAACAATAGACCACCATGTATGAGGTAATAGCATAATGGCCCTCTCCTAGTTGACCCCAGTGACAACACTGGATCATGTCAGAGCATATTCCTGTTTCATTACTGGTGTCTGGGTCTAACTGGGTCAAGAGGCATGCTGAGCTCTATAATCCTGACGCTCCTATGAGCAGCATTCTGCCTGGCATCCATTCAACCCATTATGTGAGACAGACAGAGAGAGAGAAGAGGAATGACACCATTTTCTAGTATGTGTGAGTGTGTGTGTGTGTGTGTGTGTGTGTGTGTGTGTGTGTGTGTGTGTGTGTGTGTGAGTGAGTGAGTGAGAGAGAGAGAGTTTTTGATTTGGAGCCGGGTCATTTAACAGCAGTATTATAGCTGGTCATTAGGCTCTTTAACTGGTCCTGGGGGACAGTATGAGTGCTCCTCACTGGGGGGATAATTACAATACAGTGGAAAACTGGCCTCACACACACGTGTGTGCAGAAATGCTCTTTGTGAGGACAGAGTCCACGTTACTCATTACACCCTGCTATCTTTATCTACACACTCACACAAACACACAAGCAAGCACACATTTACCCACACACACAGCTCGCTGTGCTGGACACATCACATGAGACGTATGATTATTCACACTGTATGATGGTAATATAAGAGCAATATTTACCCAGACGCTGAATCTCTCTCCCTATGACTGTTTGACTGCCTCTCTCTATGGGGAGAATAGAAGGGAGTGCTACCATTCTGACAGAGCATGTCATAGCAAAAGCAATATATTGCCAGTCCTATGTGTGTGGTTGGCCTCAGCTCAGCAGGAAGAGATGCTCATATAAAGCAACTAGGCGTCACCTACGGATATTACCATCCACGTGGCTGACAGGCTGAGATATAATCAATAGTTATTTCTCTGTTTAAACGCTTCCGCGCCGCAATCTTGGTTTATTGGCTACCCAGAGCCAATCCGTCAGTCACAAGCGATGTAGCCCACATTAAACACTGTATGTATATTACAGATGACTTCCTCATCAAATGTCCATACCTCCTACAATAGTAACATCAACATCATGGAGATTCTCACGTCTATTATCCATGGTTTATTTTGTGTTTTTCTTGCAGAGCTGACAGAGAGAGTCCAAGACACATCTAATAAAGCTTCTCTCTGTAGGCCTCGTACAATCTGTAGGCTACAGATTGTGATTTGATAATCATCAGATTTCACTGTGCTGATGCAATTTGGAGTCACTATGTTGATATGGGCAGTGACGGCTCTGTAACATGGTGATGAATGTGTTGAGACCGACAGGACAGGCATGCACGTCTTCTGTTTGTGATGTAGTAGAACAAACAGCTGAAAAAAGATTCAACTGCAGCAAACCAGTCTCTCATTACCACATCAAACCATCATCTTTCTCAGAGTCGCTCAGAGTCGCTCTCTCCCACACTGACTGCAGATGGGTCAGGCAGTCAAAATATACAGGAATCTAGTTTCTCCTTCCAACATACTTTTACACAATCCTGTACTAGTCCAAAACACAATGCTAGAATTCTACACTCATAGAAAATAACCTAAAAGGGATCTTCGGCTGTTCCCATAGGAAAAACCTTTGAAGAACCCTTTTTGGTTCCAGGTGGAATGCTTTTGGTTCCAGGTAGAAGAACCCTTTTGTGTTCCATGTAGAACCCTTTCCACAGAGGGTTCTGAATGGAACCCAAAAGGGTTCTACCTAGGGCTGTGGCGGTCATGAAATTTTGTCAGCCGGTTATTGTCATGCAAAAGACTGCCGGTCTCACGGTAATTGTCTGCTAATTAACATAAACACGTTTAGCATCTCCAGACCTCGGTGCATTCGAGCCCATACAAGCCGCTGATGCACGCCTTTGGAACATCTACATTTAAAAAGGTCTAATAAATCAATTGAATACACACCATCACAATAACTCCTTATTTATTTTAGGCAGGTCTAAGGAAACATTATGATATGAAGAAAATGAATTTCAGAAGAACAGAATACGAGTATGTTATCTGGCTATGCGCCATGCCAAAGGCTGTAGGCTTGTTCATTTAGCCGACGAGATATGCCATTATTCTATATGATTTTACTGTAAGAAAAATATAATTGAATTTAGCTGAATAAAATAGAAAGGACATTTTTCCCATTCTGGAGCGAGAGTGCGCATATGTAAGTGTCAGTGGCTATGTTGTGCGTAAAAGTGATAATTTGAAACAGGTCCTAAATGCTAGATTTAGAGTTATTTGGCAACTTTAGTTGTGAATGGAGTCCTACAAACCATAGAATGCCTTAGAAATCAAAAGATACATTACATGACCAAAAGTATGTGGACACCTGCTCGTCAAACATCTCATTCCAAAATCTTTGGCATTAATATGGAGTTGGTCCCCCCTTTGCTGCTATAACAGCGTTCACTCTTCTGGGAAGGCTTTCACTAGATGTTGGAACATTGCTGTGGGGACTTGCTTCCATTCAGCCACAAGAGCATTAGTAGGCTACAGATTGGGCAGCTCTAGCAGGGCACTGATGTTGGGCGATTAGGCCTGGCTCGCAGTCGGCGAATCAATTCATCCCAAAAGTGTTCAATGGGGTTGAGGTCAGGGCTCTGTGCAGGCCAGTCAAGTTCTTCCACACCAATCTCAACAAACCATTTCTGTATGGACCTCGCTTTGTGCACGGGGGCATTGTCATGCTGAAATAGGAAAGTGCCTTCCCCAAACTGTTGCAACAAAGTTGGAAGCACAGAATTGTCAAGAATGTCATTGTATGCTGTAGCGTTAAGATTTTCCTTCACTGGAACTAAGGGGCCTAGCCCGAACCATGAAAAACAGCCCCAGACCATTATTCCTCCTCCACCAAACTTTACAGTTGGCACTATGCATTCGGGCAGGTAGCGTTCTCCTGGCATCCGCCAAACCCAGATTAGTCTGTCAGACTGCCAGATGGTAAAGCGTGATTCATCACTCCAGAAAGCATGTTTCCACTGCTTCAGAGTCCAATGGCGGAGAACTGACGCTTGGTATTGCGCATGGTGATCTTAGGCTTGTGTGCGGCTGCTCGGCCATGGAAACCCATTTCATGAAGCTCCCGATGAACAGTTCTTGTGCTGATGTTGCTTCCAGAGGCAGTTTGGAACTCGGTAGTGAGTGTTGCAACCGAGGACAGACGATTTTCAGCACTCAGCGGTCCCGTTCTGTGAGCTTGTGTGGCCTACCACTTCGCGGCTGAGCCGTTGTTGCTACTAGACATTTCCACTTCACAATAACAACATTTACAGTTGACCGGGGCAGCTCTAGCAGGGCAGAAATTTGACGAACTGACTTGTTGGAAAGGTGGCATCCTATGACAGTGCCACGTTGAAAGTCACTGAGCTCTTCAGTAAGGCCATTCAACTGCCAATGTTTGTCTATGTAGATTGCATGGCTGTGTGTTAAATGTTATACTCCTGTCAGCAACGGGTGTGGCTGAAATAGCCGAAAACACTAATTTGAAGGGGTGTCCACATACTTTTGTATATATAGTGTATATGGGCTGCATGATGCAACTATAGGCTATTGATGGTTTGCAAAAAAAAGCTTGCGCTTTATTCCTTGCCTCAGGCTGCTCATGCTGTTCTCTCATCAAGTGATCAATCTGTATTTTCACCCATCAGACTATTCTCAATTTAATATGTAATATTTGTTTCGGTTTAGAATGGCCCATTATCAAATGGGCAGGATCAAGAGAAAAAAAGACATGTCATCCATATGAGGCCACTTTCCCGCTGGTTAGTTTCACTCATGTTGGGTAGGCTACTCAGGTTATTTCACTGTGACAGGTGATATTCCGCCCAAACTCTGTATGCCATGGGCTCTCCAACCCTGTTCCTGCAGCTACCCAGTGTTTAATTTTGGAAACCAAGTGAAATCTGTTCGGGAACATTGATAGTAATATGTTTTCACAACTAAACATATTTCATTAAACTGTTGACAGCCCCCTTGTCTGCACGCTGGATAAAGAAATGAAGGGGAGGTGATGGAAATTCACGGCGATGAGATATTCTGTAGCTAAAGGTAATGTGTCAGCCTATTAATTATGAAAATACAAAAAATGCCCTATTACTATGCTATTCAAAATCCAATACAAATTCCCTACAATAATAGGCTAACTCTAAATTTGTTTAATTTAGGCTAGAACAATTATGTACCAAAGATATCTTAAATCAGTATTTTCGTATGTTTTTCTGCCATGTGTAATATGCGGTAGGCTATGTATTGTATAACGGCACAATCATTACTTTAATTCAGGGTTTTTTTTTCGGGCTTGGGCTCATATATGCCTATGCATATGCATAAGCTCTAATATGCATATGGGTGTTTGAATTAATCATCACCTTAGAAAGCACTGTGCATTTTGAAACAACATCCACAACAACCTTGTTTCCCACTCAGTTTAAACCTGTTGTTGAACTTCTTTCTTCAAATTGATCAATCACAGTGAGGTGAGTTTTAAAAGCACATACTGTTTTGATGATAAGTGTTTGATGTGATTTTCGATTGCATTTGCATTGATGTCAGAGTGGTTAGAGGGACAATAGAGCCCTGAGTACCAGGCCATTAGCGACCTGATGATTGTTAGCGAGTTGGGTACTACTAATAATAATAATA